TCCATTTTAAGTTGCAAGAGATTTGTGGTTATGGAGAAAGATGGTGAAGCTGAGAAGTAATGAAACTGCTAATCAGTCGAGGCTTGACTGAAAGAACTGGTTGATGGAGTTGGTATATAACAGCACATTTGACTTGGGAACCAAGGCTCATGGAGCTTAAAAAATTGTGTTTGGCTTGTTATTTCCATGACATACAATTAGTTTAATTAGTCAATTATGAACAAAATTTTAGTGCGATAAGGTATCAATTTTTTAAACGAAAGTTTGGGGAACAAGACATTGACTGACTGAATATCTAATTTTGTCATCTAGGGAGAAATCATATTTTGACTAACGAAACCTGCACTTGATTCTGACGTGCAAGTTTATGATAATAATTTTGTAGGAAAATGATGAAAAGCACCCGAACTTTGGACATGTTAAAGGGAATTATTATTATTTAAGCCTCGAGCGTACCTCTTGTCATTGACTCTGCACTTGATTGAAACAGCTAAGGGAATTCTCCCCCAATCCTTTAGTTGAGCCTAACCAAGTATCTAAGGAAATTATTATTATTTAACTTATAAGAATATTTAGTTGTCCCAAATTTGTTTTTGGAGGTTTTAAACACTGTCAATTTCTTGGAAATTTCCTGACTCCGCCACGATTTCTCATGGACATATCATGTGTTTGACTATGGTTAATATACTAATGATAAAGCATGTGACTGGTTGAAAACTTGCCAAGTGGTGAAAACTAGAAGAAACACATCATAACTCCAAGCTATACATATAGCTCCATCATAGTTAATGATATCCACTAGAACTGTTAGGTCAAGTTCAAGTCTTCAAGACAACCATGGGAACCAAAAACCATCAGCTTCATATTGCTCTCTTCCCTTTCATGGCTCAAGGCCACATAATCCCATTCATAGACATGGCCAAACTATTTGTTTCCAGAGGTGTCGAAGCAACAATAATCACCGCCCCTCTAGATGCACCCTTCATCCACAAGAAAATTGAAAATTCAACTTCCCCGGTTCACATTTTCACAATCGATTTACCTACTTTAGAGGTTGGATTGCCAGAAAATTGCCAGAGCTTGCATTTGGCAACTTCCCCTGAAATGCAAAGAAAATTTTTCAAAGCTGCAGGCTTGCTTGAGCCTCAGCTTGAGCAGTTCTTGCAGCAAAACAGACCCAATTGCCTTGTGGCTGACATGTTCTTTCCTTGGGCTACAGATGTGGCTTCTAAGTTTGGAATTCCAACGCTCATATTCCATGGAACCAGTGGTTTCTCCTTATGTGCTACACTCTGTATGTTTTTGTATAAGCCTCACTTACAGGTGTCATCTGATTCAGAAACCCTTTTTATTCCTAATTTCCCAGATGAGATTGAGCTGACAAGAAAGAAGCTGCCTGATTTTATTAGAGATGGAGTTGAAAATGACTTTTCAAGATTGTATGATGAAGGTAAGAAAGCTGAGCAGAGGAGCTATGGGGTTCTTGTTAACAGCTTTTATGAGCTTGAACCTGCGTATGCTGATCATTACACAAATGTTCTGGGGATCAAGGCTTGGCATATAGGCCCGCTTTGGATATGCAATGAGGGGGCAAAAGAAGACAAAGTCTCTATTGATGAACAACATGAGTGCATAAAGTGGCTTGATTCAAAGAAACCCAACTCAGTTGTTTATGTCTGTTTTGGAAGCTTGTCCAATTTTGTTGATGCCCAGCTGCTTGAGATTGCAAAGGCTCTTGAATCTTCAGGGCAGCAATTCATTTGGGTTGTCAAGAAACAGAACAATGATCAAGAAAACCAACAAGATTGGTTGCCTGAAGGATTTGAAAAGAGAATTGAAGGGAAGGGGCTGATTATAACAGGGTGGGCCCCCCAAGTGAAGATTCTCTCACATGAAGCAGTTGGGGGGTTTGTGACACATTGTGGGTGGAACTCAACACTTGAAGCAGTGTGTGCTGGTGTGCCTATGGCCACATGGCCTGTGTTTGCAGAGCAGTTTTACAATGAGAAGCTGATCACACAAGTGCTTAGGATTGGGGTTGGTGTTGGAGCCAAAGAGTGGAGTAGAGTGGCTGTGGAGAGTGTGAAGAGTGATGCCATAGAGAAGGCTGTGACAAGGACCATGGTGGGTGAGGAAGCAGAGGAAATGAGGAACAGAGCCAGGGGTTATGCAGAGATGGCAAGGAGGGCTGTTGAAGTGGGGGGGTCATCTCACTCAAATTTGAATGCTTTGATTGAAGAGTTAAGGTCTCATGACATTGTTAATGAGTAGAGATATGATAGACTTGGTTTGAGTTGTTCCTTTCTAGGTTTGCAGTTTTTCTTTTTGTGTATTTGGCTTGTTTTTTGTTCGCTTGCCTATTTCGCTTTTAATGAAATCAGATTTCGAAAAAAAGAAAAAGAGTAAAGTTATCATAGAGGAACAATTTAAATATAGCAAATTAGCAATTGTGTGTATCTTAAATCAACCTTATATTTGGTTTGTTATTGTCAATTATGAAGTAAATTATGTGATCAGAGAAATGAAAGTTGTGACAGAAAGGTGGTATGGCAGGTTTTAGTTTTTCCAAGTTTGTTCTGAAACAGATCCTTTGCATCCTGTGCGTCGTCTTGGACAAGAAGATCAGGAAATCAAGCGGCAGACCATTTAGCGTCACTGGCACTATCGAGGAGGAGTTCGAAGACCTGGGACACCAGACCCCCCACCTCACGAGTGCATGTTCTTAACAAAGATGGGCTCCCCTGCCCACCCTGGAATTCATAATTTGTTTGGCTGGTTTGGGGGCGTTTTGACTTTCCTTATGGGATTGTCGCACATTGTTTTCCTACGGTTACGTTTTTCACCAGTTGCTTTTCTAAGTGCTTGTTTGGTGTGCACTGAGAGCTGCTTTTCTCCTTTCCGCTTTATTGCATTGTATTTGCTTTCTCGTTGTAAGATCTCTTTGGACAATGAAAAGTGCAAGTTTCTGACGAAAAAGTTCGTTGTGAAACTTGAGCAGCTGTGGTGTCTGTTGTCCATTGCTGCATCATTCGGTCATATAAGTTTGGGCCCCTGGCTGAAACTTTCTGACTATACAACCGTATTTAATCTCACTTTCCTGCCTTGAAATGTGGCCTACTTTGCTAACATGACAAAAACTAGTGCAATATCATATTATTTGGCTCAAATAACTCAGTGGACAATCAAACACTGTTTTTTTTATAAAAAAATTGGTAATAGTATACTAAATTTACACACTACACAAATACCAGTACTCGAATTCATGACCTTTCATCTGCTCCAAACCACTACAATATAGTCTTAAAACAAGAAAATATGAAAATCCACTAGAAAGTTGAGAAAAGCCTAGAAGCTTATTGATAATAAAAATGGAATGGATAACCACCCTACTTTCTTAACTAAAGTTGGTTTTAATATACTTCAAACCCTAGAACTACATCCTAATCGGAAGCAAAAACAAAACCAACATAATTTCAAATCCCTTAAACTTAAAACATGGATTTAACTTATCAAACAACGATATTTAGCCTAAAGTATATACGTCACGGAAAGTGAAATCCAAACATGAGCAGATTGATTCTAAATTTACACATCTCAAGTTGCTCCTTGATCATTTCGACTAACTATTCTAGGTCACACATAGAAGACATAACAATCATAAAATTCCTGATATTTCAGATTGTGATTGCCATTCATTTAATTGACCTTCTATTCATATGGTGACGATTTCTTGTAAATGAATGTCCCCAAATCGGTCAAATGTCCATTTGTCACTATCACCTCAAATTTTGAGACTAACATACATGGGATGGGAGCAGCACAAAATACAAATATGCTAGACACATTAAAACTTCAAATTGAAAACAAAGGTAAGCTTGTAGCGCAAAGTAATTGCCATTTGCAACATTCCAATCCCGCCTAAATATCTCAATCCCAGGCCATACCCTTTCTGCCAAAATTTACATCCACTATCCATTTATGTCCAATTTCCCGCAAACTGTCTCTTTCTTTCTTCCTTTTATCCCTCATGTGGGATCTTGACTCACATTTTTGTATTTACCCTCTCTCCCCTCCAAGAAGGAAACAAATTTACCGAAGAATATTCTTACAATTAGACCAACAATGCTTTCATATATTGTTTATCTGGAGAAATGATTGTATTATACTGGAATATGCGCTTTAGTGTGTCATAACCGTCCACATATTATGATATGAGTAGACAAGATTCTCATTTTTATGGTATAACATCAATAAATATCTATTTATATTTTAACAAAAATACTATTTATACCACATTTACTGATCACATTACTAACCACCGAAATTGTTAACAAGAATTATGTCAATCCACCAAGATATTTTAGTAGTCCAATTTAACCTACGAGTGCTTTCACTAAAATATCTTGGTGATTGACTTATGTTCTTGTTAACAATTGTCTCGGGCCTTCGCCTTGTTAATGGGCCGGCCTCAAGCAAAGAACTTCTATATTCTACCCCCGAAATATTATTTTCTTGCAAAAGTACCCCCATGACCCTCACTTTTTTACAAAGTACCCCCTCCAACCTCCCTTTTACGACAAGACGCCACCACCTCAAGACCTCAACTGTACACATTGGCATTTGTGTCCCACCCAATCCCTCCGTGATTTCTCTGTTGCTCCTCTCTAACTTTCAGGTAATTGACATCATGAAAGAGAAGACACAGAGAGAGCTCGAGAAGATGAAAAACAGAAAATAAAAAGTAGCCAAAAATCCCTTTGTCGTGAACTCAATCACAACCTCATCACCTCTCTCTCTCTCTCTGTCTCTCTCTTTCTCTGTAGAAATGAAGACCAACACCACAACCGCCACCAACACAAACACAAAGCTCATCCTCCTCCACCCCTCATCAATCCACAAATCCAGCACAAATGTAGGAAGCCCTCACCGGCTATGGCTGCTCTTCTTCTTCACCTTCTTCACCCTCGCATTCACTCTCACTCTCATAAACACCACCATCCCACAAACCCTCCCCAACTCCTCCCTCACGCCCACCTCCACAATCCCACTCCAGCCGCCCATTCTCGATGCACTTCTTCACTACGCCACTTTGTCGAACACCTCGTCTACACCCCACATGTCCGCGCCAGAGATCACCACCATATCCTCCACCCTCACCAGCCTCTGCGCACCTACCTGCAATTTCCTCATTTTTGGGCTCACCCACGAGTCCCTCCTCTACCTCGCCCTCAATCTCAACGGCCGCACCGTCTTCCTCGACGAGAGCGAGTTCTTGGTCTCCAGGTTCGAACAGTCCCATCCCCACCACACCCCCGAAGCATACGACGTGTCGTACACGACCCAGGTCAAAGAACATAAACAATTGCTCTCGACGACCAGAAGCCAAGTCAAAAACGAGTGCCGGCCGGTCCAGAATCTGCTGTTCTCGGACTGCAAGATTGGGATCAACGACTTGCCGAACCACATATACCAGGTCCCTTGGGATGTGATTTTGGTCGACGGGCCACGTGGGTACTCGCCGGCGGCCCCGGGGCGGATGGCCGCGATCTTCACCGCCCGAGGTTTTTCTC